CATGCTTTATCCAGTAAGCTCCTGTATTAGTGGTTTCATGTGCAAAGTAGCACCAGACATAGTACTTGATTCAGAGGGTTGTCCTTACAAAGCTGTGACTTTTTTCTGTGTTGTGAACGGCATTATTCTGATTGTTTGTGTGTTGTTTGGTCAGGCACGTGGAAGAGTTCAGCCCACGTGCGGTCTACACCAGCGGGAAGGCCTCCAGCGCTGCCGGTCTCACCGCTGCTGTTGTGAGAGACGAGGAGTCGCATGAGTTTGTCATCGAGGCTGGAGCTCTGATGCTGGCTGACAATGTTAGTAGAAGCAGAACACAAGAAAACTTGAGTTCATTACAACTTTATGATTTGTTGTGAACGAGAGTGATATTAAAAATACTTTTTGAGTATCGAAAAATACAAATTGAGTATCTTCATCATAATCCAAGATCATTTTGTCAAACCAAGAAATGGTAGCAGAAACCCAGGAACAGATTAAAACTGTGTTGCTTCCATTAAATTAGCTTTCCTTGTATGTAAATTCCCACCAAGAAATTTTTTTTTTTAATATTGTATCATTTCCTTAAACCTTTTGTCCAGTGCGTTCTTGGACACAGTCTTATTCTATTCTGTTGTTATTAGGCGATGATATTATTCCCTTCCTCATCTTCCATGATTTGTGTTTCCTTCTGAATTAATTTTCATATGCTTAATTTCACTATAACACAATCAGTAGCCATGGTGGTGTAGAGGTGAGGTGGGTTGTTCTGGCTGTGTGTAAATAGCTTATCTCAATTGCAGGGAGTGTGCTGCATTGATGAATTTGATAAAATGGAAATGAGAGATCAAGTGGCCATCCACGAGGCAATGGAGCAACAGACTATCTCCATCACCAAAGCAGGGGTCAAGGTACGTATTACAGGCAAAGCCCTTCATCCTCAAAGGTTCAGAAGACATCACACATTTACTACACAGTTAATACATATCAAATACAGTGTTTAACTTCAAAGGAATATACTGGAGCTTTACCAGGTGTTGTTAGATTCAGTGCCAGTTTTTGGACTGTTTCGGAATGTTTTATCTCCTCTCTCGTAGGCCACACTGAATGCCCGCACATCTATCTTGGCTGCAGCGAACCCCGTTGGTGGTCGTTACGACCGCTCCAAATCACTCAAGCAGAACGTCAACCTGACAGCACCCATTATGTCCCGCTTTGACCTCTTCTTCATCCTTGTGGATGACTGTAATGAGGTGTGTGGCTGTGTTTACATGATATAAGTATTTGTATAAAATAAAACAAAGCTAGGGATGTATCGAAGTCATTATGCAGTACTAAAGCCATTGTGTTAATGCCTCTCTTCGTCCCCAGGTGACTGACTACGCCATAGCCAGGCGCATAGTGGACTTGCACTCTAGGATCGAAAACTCCATTGATCGCGTCTACACTCTAGATGAGATCCGCAGATACCTGCTGTTCGCCCGCCAGTTTAAGCCAAAGGTGAGAAAGGCTTCACACAGCACCTTCTTGATAGATCCTACCACTGAATTTAGAAAGAGTTTGAAAAGAAAGACCTTTTCATTTGAATACTGAATTCCATGTACAGCACAACATAAATCTGGCAAGATGACATATCGCTGTTGTCGGAAGAAAACCTTGTATCTCCAAAATGGTAACTTTACAGGAGAAGGAAAAAACCTACTTTACTTTTAATGTAAGTCAGTAGAACCAGACTTTTTTTCAGGTCATTTTAGCTCATTTATTTTAGTCCATTCATCATGAAATTTACATACAATGTAAACAGATATTTTCAAATTATGTCAAAAAATAAAAAAACGTCAAAAATGGAGATACAAGGTTTTCTTCCAACAACAACCTAAAACATAAAATGTAACAGTTTCATTCTTCCTTTAAAGCTAATTGCCTGTATGTATGTGTGTTGTATCAGATCTCCAAGGAGTCAGAGGACTTCATAGTGGAGCAGTATAAGCGCCTGAGGCAGAGGGATGGCTCTGGTGTAACGAAATCAGCCTGGAGGATCACAGTGAGGCAGCTGGAGAGCATGATCCGTCTGTCTGAGAGCATGGCCAGGATGCATTGCTGTGATGAGGTGTGTGTCTTAATGTGCTTGATCATAATTGAGCATTTAAAGGTTCAGAAGGCTTTCGATTGTTTAGATTTGTACCCCTCAAGTCACACTGTCTCCGCCTCGCTCTCTCCTTCAGGTACAGCCCAAGCACGTCAAAGAGGCTTTCAGGCTGCTCAACAAGTCCATCATTAGAGTGGAGACGCCTGATATCAATCTGGACCAGGAGGAAGAAGAGGCCGTGGAGGAGGAGGAGGAAGATAACCAGATGAACGGTAAAGGCTTTTACCCTATATTCATTACTGAAGTCTAACCATCTGTACTTTAAAATATCATATCTTGCGTTTCTGATGTATCTTCCCTCTTCCCTGTCTTGTTTTCGGTTGGTTGCATTACAGGACAGGACGTGCCCAATGGTGACGCAGACAACCACGTGAACGGTCATGTAAATGGACATGTGAACGGCCATGAGCACACTAACGGGGTCAATGGCGAAAGCCACAGTGGCAAGCCCTCACTGCGCCTGTCCTTTGCTGAGTACAAGCGCATCTCTAACCTCCTAGTGCTGCACCTGCGCCGTGCAGAAGAAGGTGAGAACAAAACAAGGTTTTCTAAGTAAAAAAAAACACATCCGCAACAGAGAACATACTTCTGCACATTTTAGTGCACAGTGTTACTGTTAATCTGCTGAATTTAACATATTAGAAAAAAAAATAAAACATAAAATGTTTTGTGTTACAGCACATTTACACCAATCAGGCATAACATTATGACCACCTCCTTGTTTCTGCGCTCATTGTCAATTTTATCAGCTCCACTTACTATATAGGTGCACTTTGTAGTTCTACAGTTACAGACTGTAGTCCATCTGTTTCTCTGATACTTTGTTAGCCCCCTTTTACCCTGATCTTCAGTGGTCAGGACCCCCATGGACCCTCACAGAGCAGGTACTATTTGTGTGGTGGATCATTCTCAGCACTGCAGTAACACTGATATGGTGGTGGAGTGTTAGTGTGTGTTGCGCTGGTCTGAGTGGATCAGACACAACAGTGCTGCTTACTATATGGTACCTATATAGTAAGTGGAGCTGATAAAATGGACAATCAGCGTAGAAACAAGGAGGTGGATATTTTTGCCATACCAGCATACAAACACAAGCAAACACATGGAATGAGAACACTCAGAAGACTCACACCCACTAAACAAATATTTGTCGTCTCCAGGTGAAGATGAGGACGCCCTAAAGAAGAGTGCGGTGGTTAACTGGTACCTGAAGGAGATTGAGTCTGAGATCGACTCCGAAATGGAGCTCATCAGTAAGAAGGCCATGATTGAGAAGGTCATCCACAGACTGGTGCATTATGTAAGGGCACATCAAACACTTCTTTCATTCCTTTCACTGTATAAAATTGCTTTGATCCAAGTGTGAAAGTGACCTAACAAACACCATCATTTGTTCTCATTTTTCAGGACTACATCCTAATCGAATTGTCCCAGTCTGGCTTGAAGAGCTCGACACAGTCCACCGGAACTGAGGGCCAAGAAGACGATGTTACTCTGGTGGTCAACCCCAACTACACACTGGAGGACTAAACCTGTGCTGAAGTCCTCCTTAATTCGTGTGTAATATTAAAAAATACACCCCTTGTTTGTAATGGGGGGATAAGGGGTAGTGTTGTCCAGGATGCTGCCCTTTCTTTCTGTAATCTAAAAGGTGATCTGTTTGAAGCTGGACTGTTAAAAGCGTCCTCCGTATGGACCGCTGGAGAAAGCATGCTTGGAAAGAAGATTCTGTGCAAAGCTATTAATTTGTAAATATGTTGTTTGAATTTTTACGAGGGGTTCACTGTTTTTTAGGACGTTAGTGAAGTTTTTGGTAAAGTTTTCTTGTTTTTATCATGACCATGTTAACACGTGTTCACAAAGTTGCTTGAAACCTTTTAAGTTGTCTGTATTTTGTTCAATATACAAGAATCATATCAGAAAAATGATTGACTGTTACTCATTTTTTGTAAAAAAGTCCCAAAAATTGCCACCAAAAAGTTGGATGATGTAAATGAGATGTTTCCATATTTTGAATGCATGAAATGACGTGTTTATTATGCGCATATATATATATATATATATATATGTTTTTTTTGGTACATAAGATTTTTTTCTACATTTTCTGCAAGTTAATGTAAAGAGGTTTTATTCAAACACATGGGATTCTGGAGCATTTCTATTGGTCCAGTTATCACAGCTGCTGAGCTCAAACTGCAGAAATAAATTTTGGATAATAAAATGTAAATTTTATTTTATGTATGAACATTACAGGACTTTACAGGAGAATGAAAAAACTTACTCTACTCTTAATGTAAGTCAATGGAACCAGACTTTTTTCCAAGTAATTTTGGTCCATTCATCATGAAATTTAAAAGGGCAACAAGTGCTTTCAAATTACTTTAAAAACTGAAAAACAACGAAAATGGAGATTTTGTTCTGACAGCAGCGATGTATATATATATATATATATATATATATATATATGTGTGTGTGTGTGTATGTATGTATGTATACACTTTGTCTATAGACAGACAAATAAAAATTAAACAATTGAATTAAAAATGAATTACGCAGTTTGAGCTCAGCAGCTGTTTATGTACACACACACATAAACATACTGTCTTTGACTATACACACAAAATGAATTAAATATAAAATTATATAATCTAAAGCGCTAAAAGGGTCATATTAGATTATATATTACCTACAACGAATTCATTATTTATGTGTACAGTGTACTGTCATATAAACACGCCGCACTACGGGCGATAGAAGTACAGGCGCTGTCCTGAATGTCGGATTTGCGGATTAACTCATTTTAGCGCAGTTTGCCCTCCGCGTCTCCGGTGAACGCGTCTACCAGCGTCACGTGTGACGTGACATCGAGGCGCGCTGCGCATGCTCGTGTAAGCGAGGAAGATGGCGGCGCCCTGCAGGACTCTGCTGAGGTCGGCTGTGGAAGGTACGGCGGCTGGACGCTTCAGCTTCACCCTCTTAATAACGGGGTTCATGTCGTGGCGGAGAGCTTTACTCCGGATCTGCCTTTAGGCCTCTGTTAATGCTGTGCTTCACTGTAGTTCAGCTAGAAGCGCAGCTGTTCACTCAGCACTCAGGCTGAGCCGCAGCGTTCAGACTGTTAGTGCAGTGGGTTAAACATTACTATGGGCAGTAAATTCATGCGTTTAGAGTGGACAGTGAGTGAGACTGACTTATTGGACCAGCCATCCAGGACCCGCATTCCCAGAGGTTCAGGTGTGCTGATGTGGGATCTGTAGGTTTGTCATAAATAGGAGGGGAATCTGATCCTAGACCAGCTGTCTGACTCTGACAAGCTTTATGAAAACTGGCCCTACTACTGTTGGTAGCAGTGTACAGTCTAGAAACAGCGCGGCTGTGGTCATTTTCTGGCCAGTTTAGGCTATGTATTCTTTCAGACTCCTTCTAAGAGACCACTTGTTAAGAGTACAGTCTGAGATGTAACGTTAACATTGTTTTTGTAAATATTAGGGATGCCCTCAGGCTCACAGAGAGCACATAAACAACCCAGAGTCAGTCAATAGATGAAGAAGTGTGATGTAATAGCTAGAAACACCTACATCAGTGGTCACCAACCCTCCTCGTGGAGATTTACTTTCCTGCAGAGTTTAGTTCCATCCTGCATCCAGCCAATCAAGAATGTCTGAAGAGGTGTGGTAGATTGTAGATGGAACTAGACTCTGCAGGAAGGTAGATCTCCTGGACCGGGGTTGGTGACCACTGACCCAGATTATACTTCCAGTCACTCAGTAGCCACCTCAGATCCACCTACCTTATATATCCACATAGTTTCACAATTACAAACTGCAGCCGTTCTGTTGTCATGTACAGATCGTCAGTGGCTTTCTACCCTATTCGTCATTGGCATCTCTTAGATCCATTACTTAGATCCAGAAAAAATCCAGCTAAGAGCAGCTCTACAGTCAGAAACTGACCACTGATGAAAAGCTAGAGGTTAGCTAATGCAAATAATACAGTACGAGGTGATGGTAATAAAGTGGTTTCATTGGGACTGAGAATTTTTAGACAATTTTACAGTTGTGAGCAGGACACAGTTATTTTTCAGTGTTGTATCATTGAAGTTAGCAAATTTGAATCTTCATTGTGCTTGCACTTTGTCCACCCACCTTTACGTTACATCATCAGAAGGAGTTTTCCTAGTCTTTAAACTAGAAAATCTTGTTTTAGAGACTACTGTGGCACCAGCGTAGGAGGCAAGCAGGCATGTTTACAGCAGATGTGAAGGTGGTTACATTTTTCACTCTTTTAAATGTGTTTGGCATTTAAAAGTTCCAATGAGAGAGAAATAAATAAGCATCAGCAAAGGTAACCAGCGCAGGGCTGCTGTGCTTCTGCGTAGTGTTTATTGTCTTGATGTCAGCCTACGTAGTGCCGTCACCTAATGAATGTTTGCACCTTCTTTTCCAGGTCTTTGCTACTTATCAACCAGAAGACTCTGTTTAAGGGCAGCTCATGTGCAGAGCGTGACCAATCACAGATCACAGCAGTCTGTCTTACACTGCAGAGCTCTTCACTGCAGCCACTACCCTTTACTAAGCAGTACTAAGACAGAACCTCAGAAAGCAGCAGAAGCACCAAACACAACAGAGACTGCAAGCGAACAAAAAAAGACAGAAGACGATGAGGTGGAGGAAGATTACGGACCAGAGTATATTCCCAAACGGAAGGCGAAAAATCCAATGATGATAATAGGATATGCATGGTATGAATTATACAGCACTGCATAATGAAATATGTTTAATGTTTGACTCTTTACAGTGTCATTTTAGTGCACATAACTATGATCAGTGTCAGAAAAAATAGGGCAAAAGGCTAAAATGTACTCATTAAAATTTTATCTCTTAAAAAACAAGTACAGGAGCCGGGAATGCCCCCAAAATAACTTTAAAAAGGACCTGCTAGGAATTTTTGGGGGCTCATACAGATTTTAACTGATTGTACCAGCATAATATTACAAATAGATTTTAGGTTTTAGTTTAATACTTGAGTAGTTTTAGTTAAACAGTGCTGACAGATATGATATTATGCTGTTGTGTTCGGATACAACTGCAGGTTGTCGGTATTGATCAGTGTTCTTGTCTGATATATCAGTCGGGTTTTACTTCTAAATCTAATATACCACTGCAAATAATGTGTTAATTCAGGAGCATTCACAAACAATTCTGCATTCCTTTCCAACAAATTAGATAGGACACTAAATCTAGACTGCCTAAATTGTCAGTTTTGATAAGTTGTTATTAATTTGCCTTATGCTGCATTTACACGTTGGCAGTGGAAGGACGACTGCAAACCAGGTTTTCCATTGTTTTCAATGGAGCTGCAGTGGAAAATTCTACCACCGGCAACAGTGACAGTCCACCAAGAATGCAATTTCCCCAACTTCGGCTGTCGACCGCAGCAGTGGAATATATCGAATGTAGATCTTTTTTTGAGAGAGAGAGCTATGGATGCGTCTCACTATTGAAGTCCAGGCACACCCAGTACTATACAACAAAAAAACAGAAGAGTACGGAGCGTCCACCTGCCTTTTCCCCACCTTAGACAAACAGTCTACACTCCTAAAGCTTTCCTGTGGTAATTACATTTACATTTATGGCATTTGGCAGACGTTCTTATCCAGAGCGACTTACAGGTTGATCATTTTACACAGGTACACTGTAAAACTTGATGAGTTGAGTCAACTCAAAAGATTTGAGGAAACTCATTTCCTCAGATGTTTTAAGTTCAGTAGCTCATTTACACTTTAGTAAATTGTGTAAATTGTACTGACTCCATTTGTTTTGTTGATATTAAAATGATTGAGTATTTGGGACTTATGTTAAAGCTGTTCTTACTCAATATAATTTAGTAATAGTAAATTAAATTCACCGTTAGGCCCTCATTTTGATAAATTTATAGTGTATTGCAGAGATATTATTATAGACATTTGTAACAATGTCTTGTTTGCCTTAACATCACTACAGACCACCCTGCCAAACACTGACTCTTCAGACCAGAGTACAGATGTAGTCTGTAGTTTTCAGCCACTGCAGAACCACAAGCAGCAGACAGGAACTCAGTAACTCAGCTATAAGTTTATTCACCTCAAAGATCCTGTTTGATGGGATCTTTGAGTCTGAAATCATCAAAATAAAATTTTGAGAAAAACATGAAAGTAATCATTTATATGTAAACATTTTTGCTGTTTATCACATTAAGCCACACTAAATTTTCCCATTATTGGACTGTTTGTATTTGCATGTAAAGTCAAGTTAAATAAAAATAGTGAATATAATACATTTAAAGTTACCTCAACTCAAAATAAGCTGAAAAAAAAAATCTTACTCAAAATGACCGAGTTACTATCTCAGTTACTAGTTCATTTGATTTTTTTCAGATTAAGTTGCTCCAACTTCCTGTAGTATTTAAGTTGTAAGTGTAAACGTAATTCTTTCATTTAGATGTGCAGTGAGTTTTACAGTGTAGGCAAAGGTAGTGTTAGGAGTCTTGCCCAAGGACTCTTATTGGTATAGTGTAGGGTTCTTACCCAGGCGGGGGACTGAACACCAGTCTACAGCATAGAAGGCAGAGGTGTTACCCACTACACTATACCAACCACGTAACCATGATAGTTAATCATGGTAACCATGTCACCATGGTAATGTTTGCATGGCTGCATGCTGCCGTCAGTCACATACTGCTATGAGGTGCAGAACGTTTTTCAATGCCGCAGCACTGGTATTCAGATTAAGATTAGATGTTGTGTGAATGTTTCTGAAAGTGTCTTCATTTGTGTATAAAATGCCCCTGAATCACTGTTTTCTCTTTCAGGATTATTGGTCTTCCCACTGGTATAATTGGGTTTATTCTGGCTAAGAAGCAGGTGGACAAGAACAGACTGAAGCAGCTAAGAATCCGGCAAAGGATGAAGAAGGCCAACGAGGGAGAGTATGAAAGAGAGCGCTACAAACCCGCAGCAGGGCTGACTGACTGACTGACTGACTGACTGACTGTATGAAATGTTACCTCTTTTGCATCCAGGTTTGCCTTTTTTTGGGGGTTATCAATGAAAACACAATGAAAAGCATCATATATCAAATTAAGTGCATTATTTTAAAACCAAACCTGAAAATAAATATTGGCTTTGTCCAGTGCCAGACTATCATGTGGAGAATAAAATACAAATCTGACACATCTCATTAGAATAAGATTAGGACTGGTCTTAAAGTTCTTAAACTAGGCTGATTCTCACACACTTGTATATGTTGGATCTCGTAAGAGCTTCAGTTGCCATCTTAAAAATCAGCTGGGAAGTGAGTCAGCTACTCTCTGCATCATTATTGAAAGAATATGTTTGTATATAGACTCAAGCCTGTGATTGGGCTTCATGCACTGCGCATGTGGTGCCTAAACAGAATCTGCTTTGTGTGCAAAACCCACTTTCAGACCAAACATTGAATTTTACAAGCTCCCTTTATTTACACATGACATTTAGGAAAGACATCTCTGTTTACTTATGTATAAATGCCTCCAAAATAACTAAATGTATAAAGGCATCAAAAATAATCTGTTCTACATTTATTGTACAGTAAAATAAGGTTGACTACAAAGTAAAAGATTATTGTTATATGTACTGTGCTATGTGGAATAATTATTATGTGGTGATATTTTTCCTTATTTCCTTCTTTTAAAAGTGGCTTCCCATATTCCATAAATACAAACACTTGTTTTAAGACTTTTGATTCATTATATATATATCAGTCCAAATTATTTGCTCTATTTGTTTTTCATACTTTTGTATTTATTAAGAATGCCAGTAAATCTGGGACAGAATGTTTTATATTGCAATATATAATACATGACAATAATAAAATCTTCTAACTCAGTGGTCACCGGTCCACTTTAAGATTAGTTTCAACCCAGCTGATCCAAGATCAGTTTTACAGTCATGACTGTCATAGGTACAGGAGGACTCAGATCTGAGGTCGACCCTGTTATCTTGCTTCGAGAATACCAGTGCAGGTGTATTGTGGTCAGTTTGGACGGCTCTCGTGAACTCGTCAGTTTACCACAAGGGAGTTGAGCCCAAATGGCTGACAGTTGTAAAGTTTTAACTAAACTAAAGTTGTGACTATTGACTGATGGGTCACAAGTAAATTGATACCATGTGAGCACAAACTAACCTGCTATTGTTTCGCCACACCTGATACACAATGGAGTCTAAAAGTCCAGAGACCACATTGAAAATCTGTCTGCTTTTTTATTTGAACCTGGAAATGAACATCAGAAAGCTTTAGAATTTTAATAATATAAAAAATAAGAAATATTCAAAACTCTTTTTCGAGGTCACTACTCAAATTGAAGCAAATTCTAAAATTGACCATATTAAGGACTTTGTACAAAATGGTCAGTTGTTTGTTTTTTTTTTTACTCTTATTCCTTCCATTGAAACACATGTTCAGATGACTTTCAGGTTGATCTACTGTTCAGAGACTTTGGCACAAACATATGAAGTCCATGCCAGCTTGAGTGCACACTGTCATTAAAGCACAATGGGGACAGACTGTGCCAAATGCTAAGAAATTCCTTTTACACTGTTATGCTGTTATCATTTATGAAATATCATGATAAATTAGAAAGGAATGCAAAACAGAAGCATTTTCGTCAGTGGTCTCAGACCTTTGGACCCCACTGTATGTACTGCGTATGTGTTGTAAGCAAAAACGTGGACCATCTGGGGGCCCCTGAGGACTTCCTTGAGTACTATTGATCTACATGTATTGTTCGTGTGATAAATTTACCAGCTGCCAATGACCACCTGAACAATAGGAGCACATGATGATGGTCGGTGTAAAGTTTGTAGGGTACCAGAAACAGTGTAGCCTGTACTTTTTTACTAGGGCAAGAAATATGCAGCCAAGTCAGAAGCCTTTTCAGAGTTACTTGGGGGGATACACGTTGGGGGCATTTGGGTTTCAACGGGCTGTTGGGTACTTAATGCATGGGTTGCTAAAAGGGTTTTATTTGCGTTTTTACATAATAAATAAAAGGATTTAGGAAATGACATTAGATGTAGGTCAGAGTTTGCTAATGCTGAGCTCATGCTGACTGGTTTCTCATTGCACAACAGCACGATAGGTGGCGGTATTCACATCTTGTCTGCGGTCCACCATGAATCACAGAAGAAGGAAGAGGAGGAGGAGGAGGAGGAGAAGGAGATCTCATGAACAAACAATAGGTTACGATCTGGCAACAGGCCAGTTTTCCAGCTTTACAAGGACCACACCAATGTACCATTAGAAACAGGGTCTATGTGTGGGCTGAAACTCAACTATGTAGAAAGGTAGATCTGGTGCAGGTTTAATGACCACTGCTTTGTCAATTAGAGCTGGGTATTGAAATTTAGTATCTTAATGGTAATGAACAAATAAGACTATCAAAACATTGTTTCATTCAACATCACATTTAAGAGCTAAGTCGTTGGTTTTAGCAGCCCTGAACTTGAAGACATGCTTGTTCCATAATCTAGACTGCTGATTGGCTCTGATATACATTCTGTATGCATGCTATCAACATCAGCACAATCAGTTACAGACTTTAAATATACACAATTCCAGCTCACACTCATTTTTGGTTTAAGTCACACCCACTTTCATTTCATTATTAAAAAGAAGGTATCGGCATTGGTATCAGTACTGAAATCATCTTAAGTATCAATATCGTTATCTTTCAGCGCTACTCAGTCCTGTTCATCTCAACACAACCAGCAAAGTCTGATACCAACATGCTGTTCAGGAATGATAACGTTTACTGTTATTTTTTGGCACGTTGTACGAAGAAAAGAATGAAAAAAGGCACTTAAAATACTTAAGTGCTTGATTCACTGTTGATACATGCACAAGATATTGGCTAGATATAGAACTGTGAATCAGAATCAGTTATATTACAAATACAATTTCAGGTCATATCAAAACCAGCATCATATACAGTGAATATAAAATGTACTTGCAGCTTTTCACAGGAGAGGAATGTGACATAGAAACTTGCATATCATCGCAGTCGGAAACAAAACCTTGCATCTCAAAAAAAAAAGAAAACTTTAAAGGATTAAGAAAAAAAAATCTTAATTTTGAATGTAAATTAATTTAACAAGATTTTATCAAAGTCATTTTGGAACAGTTTTACTGTTGTGTCAGAAAATTCTGACAATGTAAACGGCTGCATATATATTATATATATATATATATATATATAAATATATAAATATATATATATATATATATATATATATATATATATATATAAATATATAAATATATAAATATATATATATATATATATATATATATATATATATATATATATACGAATGGACTAAAAGAAACGGCCCAAACTTACTTTGATAAACTTACTTTGTTTTGTTCCAACAGTGATGATACATAACTTTAAATAGTAAAAACACCTCTACACACAAAATCCTCCTTGATTATGTAAATATTTTTTTTGTCTGTGTAGCAGCCTGAACAGAGGCTGTTGAAGAGCATTTGACCAAAATGTAAATACTTCGTTCTCTACAAAGATAAAAAAGTTGCCTTTAAGCAAACCCTCAACATCTTGACTAATATCTCATAACTTGTTCATATAATTAGTGAGTACATGATTACTGAAAATAGACAAAAGTGCATAGTACACAAATGTTTGAGCTATAAATGTCTGCTGGAGCTCAGTAGGAAGTCTTATCGCTGCGAGGCTCCAATAATCTGCAGGAGGAACAGGAAAATCTGGATGATGTCGACGTAAATGGAGAGAGCAGCAAAAACATACTCCTCGGGACTGATAGAGTGCTTTCTGTTCCCAATAAGAAGCTGGGTGTGGTAGGCCAGAAACTAAACAGGAGGAAATAAGGAACGTTACATTAGATCCAGAACAGCAAAAGTGGGTGGGCAATATGGCACAATTATAACTTCCCAGGACTTTTTCAGGAGATACTGTACATTATGAATTGTCATATTTATTTAATATTTACTTCTGAGGTTTTTGATAAGTTGGTACATAAAACATGTAACAAATAAAACAGTAGTGCCATATTTTAAAAAGGCTTTGAATCACAACAATGTACAATTTTTTAACAAACAAATAAGAAGAAGAAACGGAACAAATCATTCAACTGGTAAAAATAAAATAATAAAATAAGCTGGTCATAATAGGGTGTCAGTGTTTACAGACTGCCTACAACACTGGTACATACCTTTTGTCACATGATAACTAATTTGTATTTCATAAAAATATATAACATATCAAATAAATATCAAAATAACTAAGATTGAGAATGTGTAATCAAAATTAATAATCAGGTTTAACTGAGTAATCATGACAGCCTGACCAGTATCTCTGTATAGTAGACATATTTTATGATGCATGTTCCACATGCACTAGTGATGCCTACAATATGTGTAACATAGGCCCAAAATATCATTTATGATGATAATAACATATCATCATATTTCCCACCCCTAACCAAAAGCACATGTAATTGGGGAAAAGTAAATCCAAGTTACCATAACATCAAATTCAGATTTTATTCTAGCTCCTGAACTCACCAGTGTGAATACGATGGCTCCAATGGCAGCGTAGAGCATATGAAGCCAGGGGATCTAGGATAAGAACAGGAAGTTGAATATGATATGGCTATATGGAATATGGCTATTGTCCAAACATCAGCATGAGGTACACTATATGGCCAAAAGTATGTGGACACCATGTCTAATTACTGTGTTTAGGTGTTTCAGCTTCACCCATTGCTAACAGTATAAGAGTATAAAATAAACCAAACAGTCATGCAGTCTCCATAGACAAACACTGGCAGTAGAATCCTGAAGAGCTCAGTGACTTTAAACAATGATATAGGAAGCTATTTTTTCCACAAGTCAGTCTATGACATTTCTGCCCTTTTAGATCGGCCCAGGTCAACTGTAATTGCTGTAATTTTTTAATGGAAGTGAAAATCCTCCGTCACATCACTCACTTAGTTCCAAACTGCCTCTGGAAGCAACATCAACACAAGAACTGTGCGTCAGGAGCTTCATGAAATGGGTCTCCATGGCTGAACAGCTGCGCATCAGCCTCAGATTACTATGTGGAATGCCAAGCGTCTGCTGGAGTGGTGTAAAGCACGCCGCACTTTGGAACGGTGGAAACGTGCTCACTAAAGCAATGAATAATGCGTCACTCTATAGCAGTGTGATGGACGAATCTGTCTACCTACCAGAACCCATAGTGCCAACAGTAAAGTTTGGTGGAGGAAGGATAATGGTCTGGGCTGTTTTAGTTAGTTCCAGTGAAGCGTAATGTTAATGCTACTGCGTACAAAGACATTTTAGATAACTATACGCTTCCAACTTGGTGGCAACAGCTTGGGGAAGACCTTTTCCTGTTCCAGCATGACTGCACTTTTGCAAAAAGCAAGGTCCATAAAGATATGCTTTGAGGAGTCTGGTGTGGAGGAACTCCAGTGGCCTGCACAGAGCCCTGACCTCAACCTCACTGAACAACTTTGGGATGAACTGGAACATTATTTGCAAGGCAGGACGTCCTGTCCATCATCAATGCCTGACCTCACAAATGCTACAGAGCACAAATTCCCAAAGACACACTCCAAAATCTTGTGGAAAGCTTCCCAGAATAGTGGAGGCTCTTCAGAGGAGGGGACGGGTAACTCCATATTAATGACCATGGTACTGGAATGGAATGTCTAACAAGCTTATACAGGTCTAATGGTCAGAAGTCCACATACTTTTGTCCGAATAGTGTATTTAGTGCTGCACTTACATATTTGAATGACAGCACGATAGCAGTGATGATGCCGGTCACAAACACGACGATTCCAAGCACGCAGAAAAGACCTCCGCATTTGGTGAAATCCACCTGATGATAGAACCAATAATAATGAGGCTCTTCATATTAAACACACACATACAACACCCTTCATAAAGTCTCGAGGGCGAGTAAGGTCATGTTACTTGTGTACACACTAGATGCTTGATAAAGATTTACTGTAAACTACCTTAGTCTGGAAGCAGAAGACAGTTACAGCAATGCAGACAATCACTGTAATCCCCAGAGCCAGGAACACAGCCTTAGTGTTATAGTAACTAGAATTATAAAGAAACATAATTATGACCACTACAGGCCAAAGGTTCAAAAGCAAGGGAAAAAACATGTAAAAATAAACATGGATTTTTTTATTTTTTAAGAGATAATGGACAGTAATCGTATCATAACAAAACCTTATATGGTAACTTAGGGAAGGGGAAAAACTGCTATATTTGAAGGGGAGTTTAAAAAACTGCTGCGTAATGCGATTGTTAAGATGTAAACAGTTTAGCTCCTGCTGAATTTTACTGCACTTCTGATCAGATTTCCCTAATTCTCACTTTAAGACACTGTGAAGGTTCGATTAACCACAAGGTCAGTGGTTAGATTAGAAGTTTGTAAATAATTAAAAACTGGTCAGTTTAAGGGGTTATCAACAAAGTGTGAAGACTTGCAAAAAAAAATGGGGAAAATGTCTGATTCAACTAGATGTCATTAAATGTGTTGTGTTGATTGTTGGCTAATTGACTCAGGTGTAAAATGTTTTTGAAAAAAAACAAACAACTTCTTGCTTCCATTGCCGTGGCCTGTTACTGTGTATGAGATGATATGAGACTTGTTGTTTGACCATTATGAGAGCCATACAGGGTCATTCAATCACAGAAAGGAACTGCTGAAAGGAAACTGTTCAGAGTGGAAACAAACTACAGCACATTCCCAGCAAACAATGAATGAAGGGGCTTATGTCAACACACATGTGAATAACGACTGAAGTGTCACGCCCTGCTGAACAACTCCTGACAGTGACAGCGCTGGCTGACTGGAACTGACTGTGCAGTTATATTTCGCTCACATGCAGCTACTTACCTCGATATCGTCCCGGTCATATAGGACATGGCCAAAGTCTAAGAAAGACAAGAAATAAAGTTACTCATCACTCCTTTAGCATGGCTGTTTTCATGAGGCTTCCTGATTACAATCATTTGCAGTTATTCATATTACATATCAGGCTGTGTGCAAAAGTTTGAACATTCCTCTTTAAATTAGATGTTTTGTTGATTTTATAAATGAATATAAGTGAACACACCATCTACAGAGAACACATTTATTTTTCCAATGTATTAAATTAAGCTCAATTCATTCAATTGTGCATTAAAATGTGCAGAATTTTATGCACAATTGAATGAATTGAGCTTAACTGAATACATTGGAAAAAATAAATAAATAACACAGGGCCTGTGTAAAAGCTATGGCACACTTTATATATATTTTATGATTTTTTTACCCACAATATGTTATACTCAGCAAATAAGTAGAAATTGTGCACTAAAATATGCAGAAAAAAGAGAGTAATCAAGCTTTTGCATACATCTACATTAAATTACTTGTAATATTCAGCCATCGGGTTGAAAGAATTGTTTTTATATCAAAATTACAATTTGAAAGAGTGCTTCTTTTATTATATCCTATTTTATCCTTATCCTATCCTATTATCCTATTTTATTAACATCGTTAATGGAAATTTAACCTAATAACATTGTGAACTACCAGTGGATGAGCTGGACCAATCAGGAGAAACCAAACATACATGTGCTGTGACATCACAACCACAACTAACTGGGTGTCTGGTGCACTTTGTTTAGCGTAAAGCCAGAAAAAAATGTGGGTGATCTTCTTGGCCAAAAAAAGGGTCCTGGACCTTATTGATAAATTATAAATGACAGTATTGGTAAAACCCACAGTAAGATAGCTCTACTCAGCTGTAAAGGCAAAAAAATCCTACCAAAAAGATAAAATCGTGCATTACCACAACACAGACACATTACTGTGACACCCCCTCCCCATATGTTCGGTTTATTTACTGTTTACTAAGTTTATCTCAATGTGAGCTACTAGTAAGATTGTCATATGATATTTGACCACTGAAACCAGTGCAGATTCTGGTTAACAGAGGCAGAAGCATTTTACAGAAGGAAGAAAAACAGGCACAGCCACCAACTGTTTTCCATTACACATATACCCACACCCTCTCCCTTCATTCCAAATGAATTGGCACTTCCAAACTCACAAAAATGGCCAGCAGGAGAAGGTTCCATGGAAAACGTCTCCTAAAACAAGAGAGGGGGAAATGTTAGACACAACAACACATATTACTGTGTAACAACATGTAACTGATATGTAATAATGGCCTAGTTTCTGTAGGGCTGTTTGAGTTTGGATTTCATCCAGTCTGTATTCCAGATGACATAATGCAAAGTTATTACAGTTTTAACGGGCTGATTAAAGCAGGACTTGTTTGCTCACCTGGGTCCCTTACAGCAGACCAGCACGATATGTGTGATAAAGTAGACCGCACTGCAAAGACACAGACACAGCCGCGTAAAACACTGGCCCGCTGGTCATTGGCCTGATTTGAATATCAAGACAGGACAGAGGTGAAGTATGGCTAAAGTTTATGAGAAAATGAGTAGAATTCTTACTACGAAGCCCAGTAGATTGCTGGATTTCTTGAGACAAAGTTACGCACAGGTTCTCTGAGGCCAGAAAAACAAGAAAAACAGTTAAAAAAAAGAAGGCCTTCATAATAAACCTGAGAAAGCAATATATTTTTAAGTACATCATTCATTATTAAAATATAGTAAGAGTTGCACTGGTAGCAACAGCAGCGATTATCCTTCATTATCCTTCAATTTTAAGGAAAGTAGGTTTACCACACCCACTCCAGAACAAGTCCTCACACATCTCTCTCTCTCTCTCTCTCTCTCTCTCTCTCTCTCTCACACCCACACACACACAGGCCCAAGGACTCACACAAATGTGAAAACAGCCACGATGGCGACGGTGACGAGGAGCTGGGCAGCGAGGATCATGTACACCTATCAGAAAGGAGATGTCCTTAGGCCACCCAATCAGAATAGCTCATTGAAAAATTACATTTATACAATTTTCCCATATCCCAAATATAGTCATTCAGCCAAGAAATGTGTGGTGTCTGACGTTCGCTTCTTTAGTTTTGCACTGAAGCTACAAGGCTAATGTAGCTAACAAGGAGTAGTGAAAACTCACCCTACAAATTAGCATTGTGCTAACTGCACGCACATGTCACATACTTGTGTCAAACCACGTTGGGTCGTTAAGTAATCGCAAACAGGCTTGTTTTTTATGTGGTTCCTGACACGGTATGACAAACTGCCATCTATAATAAAGGACAAAGGTAATACATACAATACAATACATAACCAAAACAAGAGCAACAGCCACCTTGAAGCCTTGTTTTTGTATATTTGTTTATATTATAGATTACTACTTATATATTTTGAGATTATGTAATGGCATAAGTGGTTTAAAGCTAGTGTGTCAAGATTTAGGCATGCAGTTCGTGGAATCCTAATTGATAGTCAGCCTCGTAACACAGCACAAAGTTAAAGAAGCAAAACTTGACACCACACATGTCTAATTAACTATAATGGGCGTAAGAGGAAAACTGCCACAATATCTTTTTTCTTTTCTGATACCAATATTTATATTGAAACTATGAGTCTCAACCAATTCGATATTCTTTTTTAATTAAAAAAAAATAAATAAATAAATTATATATATATATATATGTATATATATATATATATATATATATATATATATATATTTTGTTAAAGCTTTAAAAGGTGCATTAGTTGATTTATTACTTTTACTACTGGAACAAATAACCAGAAAAAATGCAAAACATGATAAAATAAATTTTAAAAGGGATACTGGTTTCAGCAAAGGCATCAGCATAAGTGTAATATGTGCCAGAGAAACTCTGTTTGGAAAGCTCATCTGTGTTTACACTGACCTTCTGTCAGTCTTTTTCAAAAGACCCTTCCCTACATCACATTACTCTGCCCATCTTCATCTGCTCAGCAAAGAAAACATAGTAGTCCAGCTTGGGGCTCTAGTATTGTTTTCAGGTGTGGGATAAGCTGTGTTGCCAAAAACTTAACGATAAGAAATGTACTAAAACTAGAATCAACACTGGAAGTGCTTTTCAAAGATGGGATTATTACATGCATTAAAACATTAAAACTGGATGCAGAATTAACAACGTCCCTCCTGGACAGGTATGTAAACATAATAGGTCTATGCAAAAAGTGCTGAACTGTTTGAATAATCAACTTTACGTAAAGAAACAAGTCGAAAAATATTTATCACTCAAAGACCATGGTAAAGTAAGAAAGTGCTGTCGATAAACCACCGTCATAAGAGACGTATGTAATACCTGTGAACTGTATTAAACTTCAGTTTAGGTAACAAAACTAACAAAATGAGGCTGACGTTGGCTTTTAATTTGAACTTTCCATTCTACCTTAAATGCTGCAGTACAGACAATATCTGCCTGGTAGTGATGGTTCACTGAAAAAGTGAGTGGGACCTCATTACAAAGAAAAAAACAGGACAGCAGAGACACTCTGACTATTCTAAAGCAGCAAATCGGTATGAACCGGATAGTAAGTGTTTGTAGGCTTGTAACTTTGCAACCCCCCCTGGACAAAAGAGACACGGGAGTTTGATGTTCGCTCTGGCCGAAGGCCGCTGCTATACAATAGGAGTATGTGAAGAGTACCTGGATAGCATTATTAGAGGAAAATGCTTTGTACTGATGTGTGGGAATGGGAGGTGGATCCAAATAGTTTTAAAAAATCAGTACAGTGGTGTAGTTTAAATATTTAACCACTAGAGGTTGGGTATCATTAATTTTGACTCACACACCTTTAAAATTTTTAAATGAAGCCCTACAGTTAAAATCAGCATCTAAAAGTAGGCTATCATGCTCAAACTACTCACACAATCTTAAAATGAAGAATTCAATTAGGAATCTTACTTTGCGAATAAAAGTGTGCCGAATGCTCATGCTTTCCCATCCTGGTGACGTTGTGAATCCTTCATCATCTGTGAAATTAGAAACATGCTATCAGTTCAAATTAGCCCTCCCACCTCGATTGACACTGCAGGGTAAGGCACTACAGAAGCAGTAGAAATTTAGGATTAAGGGTTGCACAGTGTCTAACTGTTCTGCAATGCCCTGTTCAGTTTGGCTATTTAATAATAATAATGGTGCATTTTATTTATAATGCGCCTTTCTTTTAGGTGAAAATCCCAAGATGTTATACAGGTAAACTCAATACAATGCTAAATATGTAACATTCAGAAAACAACAGTCCATAGCTGAAAATAAAATAATAAAACTTTAACTTTAACATGGCTTATACCTGCTTGAACTCAAATCAATAGTAAAAACTCACAGTCTTATATAATATAAAACTAGCCTAAAACTAAACAGTCTTAAACAGAAACCTTAAAACAGATTGAGCATATAAGACCAACCTGAGACAAACTGTTCATGTGTTGTTTTCTTATATAATATTTAAAGCAGCAGTATCAGGGGAATTTCCAGCGATGCTGATATATCTGTGGAATACCGCATTTTCCTTCCATAATGTGACGTATTTCTGAGCGAAACGCAGTATTTGGGAAGGTCTCTGAGCTACTTCTGAGCAGTTCTCTCTCAAAGGTAGGTTGGAGGGGGTTGGGAGAGTGGGGTAAAACATGACAATATTGATTAAAATTATTTTCCCCCTCCCTCTAGTGCACAGTGATGTAATAAAAAAAACTCAGGAGACGTTTTCAAGAAGGGCAAAAGTCTTCACACTACTATTAAAGGTTACTGGAAAACAAGAATTTTGTCTTTTAAATGGTACAAATTGATGAACTATGTTAACATGACCTGAGATGTGAATTGACAAGGTTAAAAAAAAAAAAAAGTTTAAAATTGATTTCAGCCGAAAAGATAATAGCCGGTCCCTAGGGACAACATATCTTAGACAATTTCTGATAAGTTTTAGCATTTTTATTCCACATCAGCATTCTTATTCAGAAATATTTGATGAATCTTTATTTGTACTAATATCATTTGTGGTGCTACAAAGCAGGAATCTGTAATCTTGACCTGTGATCCTCTGTGAATATTTGCATTTGAATATCTTGCTGCATCCAAAAAGCCTTTGATTTGTTTTAGTTTGAAACTTGGTCTTACCTTGACCTGGGATGGGCATGACTGGCATTATGGGCGGCATTGGTGGTGGGTATCCTTGGCCTGGTTGCCCTGGCTGACCAGAGTAAGGGCCTGGCTGACCAGGGTAAGGGCCTGGCTGACCAGGGTAAGGCGCAGATGGGTGGGAGTAGGGAGCTCCAGGGTAGCCGGCAGGCTGGGGCTGTGGTTGACCCCCATACGGAGAGAAGCCATAGGCCGGCGGGGGCGCGGAAGGATATGCACCCCCAGCCTGAGGGTTGTGGAGCAGCCCGGACTCATCATAGCCCGGAGGGAAGTCAGATCTGGACATGCTGCTTCAGTGATTCCTTGAAAGTACACATTAAAAGAAGAACAAGGTGAGATCAGTTACAACCAGAGAGCACCAAATAACATGCTTAAGGCATTGATGCACTGATTTTCAAAAATGGATGAAAAGTTCCAGATGAGTGTTTCTGTGGGTGTTTGGACCAGGGACGAGAATTTTGGCAAATTCTTTTGACTGATAACAGACAGTTATTAGGTCATCATTTGATCATGGTGGTGGTGTGTCAGTGTGTGTTGCGCTGGTCTGAGTGGATCAGGCACAGCAGTGCTGCTGGAGTTTTTAAACACCTCAGTGTCACTGCTGGACTGAGAATAGTCCACCAACCAAAAATATCCAGCCAACAGCATCCTGTGGGCAGCGTCCTGTGACCACTGATGAAGGACTAGAAGATGACCAACACAAACTGTGCAGCAGCAGATGAGCTACAAACCACCACCACGTCAGTGTTACTGCAGTGCTGAGAATGATCCACCACCCAAATAGTACCTGCTCTGTGAGGGTCCATGGGGGTCCTGACCACTGAAGAACAGGGTGAAAGGGGGCTAACAAAGTATGCAGAGAAACAGATGGACTACAGTCTGTAACTGTAGAACCACAAAGTGCACCTATAGAGTAAGTGGAGCTGATAAAATGGACAACGAGCATAGAAACAAGGAGGTGGTCATGATGTTATGCCTGATCGGTGAATATATGGCCTGACTGGGTCTAGCTTCACATTTAAATGCACAGTGTAAACAATAATTGATGAAGTTGATAGCTCACAGCCCTGTCATGTGACTAGCTACACAGGCTAGCCATTAGCTAACAAACACACCTGTAGGCTATAGCTAAAAGCCACACTCAACAGAAGCAAACTGACGTTTAAACAAACAGTCAGTTGCATCCTAGCTCTGCACTGTGTCATGTGGCTAAATATCCTAGTTGCAACAGTGGTGTAAGCCACATTTACAATGGTTTAATCTCTGCTACATCCCTTTATCAACAGCCCAGGCTTTATCAAAAGCCCCTGCTTTGCATCAGTGACACTGTTTCCTTAGGTAATATACTACAAACTGTATCACATCCACAACAGCCCTAAACCGAGGTTTGGGAGGAAGAAAACACTTTAAACTCCTTTTCCCTCCTGTCAAACTTTTCTACATTTCTGTTTCTACCATCTGTTTCCTCTGATGAAGTTTTTGCACGCCACCACCTTGCGGCCTCCTCCCTGATCACCCACTTCTGAAATTCTGGTCTGGCCTTCTGTAAAGCAGAAGCTACCCAGCGCAACTAGACATCTCAGAGTTTTCTCTAAACCTGACATTCATACCATCTCTCCTCATACCACACCAAACAAGCTTTCAATGAATGGTTCTTTGAAGCATAGTTTTCGTAATTGAGATCTGTGAAGAACTAGTAGTAGGTGGTATACTTTACTTTTAATGTAAGTCAATGGAACCAGAAATTTACAAACAATGTAAAGGGAAACAGGCATTTTAAAAGTATGTCAAAATCTGGAGAAAAAAAAAAGAAGATACAAGTTTTTGGTCTGACAGCAGCAATGTGTATATATGTCTCTTTATTGCTACAAAAAAATATAAATAATATATAATATATGTATATATATGTATATATATGTATATATGTGTGTGTGTGTGTGTGTGTGTGTGTGTATATTTTAACAATAAAACTGTTTTAGACACTTAGACACTTAAGAAAACATATTTTTGGAGGTCAACTAGTGGCTTATTTATCTTGCATGTTCACTTTTTAATAAGAACCATTTTTAACAACCAAAGTAAATCTGAAATATTTTTGCTGTGCAAAAAAGTAAAAACAAAACTGCACAATATATAGATAAACACAAGAATTTGGACTGGCATACCAGTTCGTCCCCACTATGTACAAATTTAAACTTTTTTTTAAGTTTAAAAAACCTCAATATAATGTACATATTCTGTACCAATTAAAGATTTTTCCTAGAACCATACATCCATGCCAAGAACCACTTTGTTCAACTATTAGGTAGATGTATTAGATTACTTCTTCTGTCACCTCCACTTTAATTACAGACTAAAAGACAGAACAGAGTGACAAGATCAGGCATCAATACAAACATCAATACTTATTTATGTCTCTGCTGAAAAGGACACTCTACTACTGCTTTTTTAAATGCTGACAAACAGAATCTTTATACGACATTACAGTGACCATGAAGAAATCATATTATTTGGTGTCCAAAGACATTTCCCCCATTAGGAGACACAGCCAAATATATCCTGCAAACCGAAACACCATCTCCAGCTAGGAGCTAGATTCGTTTAAGCTTTTGAAAAAAAAATGAAAAAAGTGAATTTGTGAATGAATATTTAACCTTATCTGGTCTACACTGAGACTATCTGCTTCCTGCTTTACTCCCATGATTCACTCCTTTCATCATGAGTTTTACACTAACAGCTTCCACTGATTATGTACAACTAGGTTTGATGACAATTGAAATAAGGCATATAAACAGCTTTTACTCTTTACTATGACCCAATAAGAACAAAATAGCAAGTATCCCTAAAACAGTAACTTTACAGGAGAAAACAACAATGTTCTTGTAATGTTAAGTCAATGTAAAGCAAATTTATTCCTAGTAATTCAGGAGCATTTCTATGAGTCAAAATCAAACCAAACGGACATATATGTGGATTTTTCTGGACAGTGACGATATGTTTAGTCTTTACTTAGATGGCTTCATGTTGGTGCCATAATTACTGTTTAGCTACCCTTTGTGTGACCATCATGTTAACCAGTCCATTATTATTTCCATTAAAAGATTATCTCAAAACTGCTGTAAACATCAAAGAACAAATATGTAATAGACATTTCTCATCGTGGCTCCTGCTGTTGCTCATACAGCGGCTTGATGTCTCAAATGGCCAGTGCAGGTCTCATAAACATATGTTTGTGTTTCTTTGCTTTGTTTGTTTCAACCACCATTAGCAGACTGACCAGTCTGGACAGGGTGATCCTCAAACGATACTGACTCCTTAAATGTGTATACATTTAATTTTAATGAAATAAAATAGTCATTTTTATTCAACGTTTTACATGCTGCACTGTCCTAAATACAATGAAACAGGACTAATTATGCTCTGTTTGTATTGAAACATCCAGTTGTTCAGTGCTTTTTACAAACAATGTGCTTAGAAAAGAATTCAGTGCATAAAATAATGAGAAAAATGTCATATTGCCCACGCATGTGAAAAGCTGAAAAAACACTATTCATAATTTTTTTAAATTGTGCATAGAGTCTGTTGCAACTTACCAAAACTCTGACAGTGGTGGTGGTGTGTTAGTGTGTGTTGCGCTGGTCTGAGTGGATCAGTCACAGCAGTGCTGCTGGAGTTTTAAAACACCTCAGTGTGACTGCTGGACTGACAATAGTCCACCCACCAAAAATATCCAACATCCTGTGACCACTGATGGAGGACTAGAGGATGACCAAAACAAACTGTGCAGCTGCAGATGAGCTATCGTTTCTGACTTTACATCTACAAGGTGGACTGACAAGGTAGGAGTGTCTAACAGAGTGAACAGTGAGTGGACACAGTGCTTAAAAACTCCAGCAGCACTGCTGTGTCTGATCCACTCATACTAGCACAACACACACTAACACACCACACCACGTCAGTGTTACTGCAGTGCTGAGAATGATCCCCCACACAAATAGTACCTGCTCTGTGAGGGTCCATGGGGGTCCTGACCACTGACAAACAGGGTGAAAGGGGGCTAACAAAGTATGCAGAGAAACAGATGGACTACAGTCTGTAATGGTAGAACTACAAAGTGCACCTATACAGTAAGTGGAGCTGATAAAATGGACAATGAGCGTAGAAACGTAGAATCATAATGTTATGCCTGATCGGTGTATACAAATGACATTATATACCCATACGTTTAATTTTATACACTCCTGTTATATCCTCCTCCTCCTCTGTTAGCAGCTTTCAAACCCAGCATTACAGAATGGAACATTCAGAGTGGGAGCCATCGACCACTCCTCGGACTGAGTCATCACAGTGTTTATTTTTATCTGTCTATTAAGTACACAGCTTAGAGGAAGATGTCAGCTGGTAGTAGATCTGACTAATTTAGCTGAGCTCTGACAGTTTCCCAATTCACTTTAACACCCTCAGAGTTTAGCAGTCTAGCCGTTATGACACTGTGTAAAGTTCCTTTTGTGTCAAAAACAAACCAAAGAACTTTCTGATGCAAACTTCCTGTTATCAAAAACACTGTTATGTAAACCATAAACTCTCCCAGCACTGCTGTTGGAGGGTCAGATGGGATGACTGGATGTAATGCTAATGTTTAGACAAAAGGACTGGAGACTGACCCTTGTTCCCACAACCTGAAACAGATACATGCTAGTTGACCTTTATATAGTTTGGGTGAAAGTGAATTGTATAACTTCCCTCTTACCCTAGTCTCACAGGGCCAGATGTGATCTTGCAGCAAGAACATCTGGGGGAAACCATGAAAAACTCTGGGACAAATGTGGGTGGGAACGAGACCTTTTAGGGTGGGAACAAACTGATTATGAAATTTCAATACCAATCCACTGCTTTGTGAAGCGTGTCGTTAGTGACACATGACTGAAAACATGACTGAAAAACATCCCAATAAAACTCCAATTTAGTAAGAGTGTGCGGAGAACAAATTACATGCTATACAAATAAACGCTACCTCCTGTAAAGGTAACGTTAGCTAACAACAGCTTGTGCTAGCTACTTTGTTTTGCTTGTTTCATCAATTGTATTCCAAAGCTAATAGAGCAGGAACCAGGAGGCGGGTTTTAGCGTAGGCGTACCCTTCTTTGCGGCATATTTTGCTACAAATCCGGCCCCAAAACTTGTGGTGTGTTTCACAGAGTTCTAGACTAGGGGCGGGCAATATGGCATCATGATACTTTAAGACATTTTAACAATACATGGTACTTTTTTCTAGATTCAATTAGTTGGAGTAGACAAAATA